TGGAATAGAATAGAATAGAATAGGAGTGGAGTGGAGTGGAATGGAATGGAATGGAATGGAATGGAATGGAATGGAATGGAATGGAATAGAATAGAATAGAATAGAATAGAATAGAATAGAATAGAATAGAATAGAATAGAATTTTTATTGGACAAGTGTGATTGGACACACAAGTTGCCTTTGGTGCAGATGCTCTCAGTGTACATAATGAAAAATAAAATAGAATCCACTCATCAAGAATCGTAAGATACAACACTTAGTGATAGTCATGGGTTACTAATAAACAATCAAATTATACTAGGAAACAAACAAAACAATATAAATTTGAAAGGTACAAACAACATGGTTATAGTCATAAGCAGGAAGAGATGGGTACTAGGAAGGATGAGAAGAAGAATAGTAATACAGTCTTAGTAGATAATTTGACAGTATTGTGGGAATTAGTTGTTTAACAGAGTGATGGCATTCAGGGAAAAAAAACTGTCCTAGTTTTTAGTGTCTAGTTGTTCTGATGTGCAGGGCCCTATAGCGTCATTTTGAGGATAGAAGTTGAAACAATTTAGGTCCAGGATGTGAGGGGTCTGTAGATATTATATGAGAGGATGATACTTCTGTGAAGTAAGGTTAATGGGTGTAACCAGAAACCCTGACCAGAATCTACCAGTATGTTTAATTATTGCAACGGCTAAAGTTGCAATAAATTACATTCCGTCTCAGTGAGCTGAGAACTAGGCTGACATTCTGGGCTGCAATATTTTGGTTCTGTATGTGTGGTAAACACAGCCACTGAAATGACATCAACAACCCACACCACTTCTGAGCGAGTTTGGGCGCACAACGGGGATTAGCAATCCTCCCAAGAACTCTTACTTGGCATCTGGCCATCTGTGAGGAGAATCTGTCACATCGTATTTTCTTTGATCAGCGCATGATTAGAAAAGTAAACGGTCAGTACTTCTTTTGCCTTTGACTTCAGCATTTCTCAACGTGGGAAAAGCACTACTTATTGTCTATGGGGATTCTCAGTCATCCAGGTCATGGTTGCCCCAAAGGTGCTTTGGGATCGAAGGATGGGATGGAAGGTGGATGAAATCCTTCCTTCATCCACCATTCAGTCAAAACTGAAGAAGCTTCTTGGATGAAAAGCGAAATGTCTTCAAAGAAAATCTAAGTACCTGGGCACACAGGTACTCCCATGTTACACCCCTTTTAGGCAGCCTGCACTGGTTGCCAGTTGTCTTCCGGGCGCGATTCAAGGTACTAATTATGACCTTTAAAGCGCTCCATGGCTTAGGCCCAGGGTACCTGCGAGACCACCTACTGCCACCGATAGCCTCCCATCATCCAGTGCAATCCCATAGAGGTGGCCTCCTCAGGGTGCCATCGGCCAGACAGTGCCGGCTAGCGACCCCC